CTGACATATGTCCAAGAATTTTTAAAATAGGTGAACCCCCCGAAAAAAAAGAAAAGAAAAGAAAGAGAAAAATAAAAGCTTTCTAATAGATTAAGAATAATTCTGTCTCAATGCAAAAAAGAATTCAAAGACAGGTGGGTCCAGTCTTTTGCCAAGGCAAGAGGAGAGAAAATATAATGCAAATTATAAGCTTAAAAGAGATAAAGTATAACTCTGGCCGCTTGGTATAATACTATCTCAACTGTTCCCAATGTACAGCTTCACATTATGAGAGTCTCATATACACTGACCCATATAATCATCAGAAGAATACAGAAGAGATAAGTAAAGCTTGGTGAGATCATACCAGTAGTACATGACAGAAGAGGGATGAGAAAAAAGATCTAGGGTTTAAGACTCAAATCTGTTTGCTGTGCTGCCTTCTTTCTACACTGTGCTGACTATGGTTTTCAAAGAAATAAAGGGTTAAGAGGCAAGAGGCCCATAAAAATACGAGAAAAACTGCCCAGCCGGTGTGGCTCAGTGGTTGAGTGTCGACCCATGCACCAAGAGGTCGCTGGTTTGCTTCCCGGTCAGGGCACATGCCCAGGCTGTGGGCACGATCCTCAGTGGGGGGCATGCAGGAGGCGGCCAATCAATGTTCTCTCTCATCAATGTTTCTCTCTCTCTCCCCCTCTCCCTTCCTCTCTCTAATATCAATAAAGAAAAATGTTTTTGGTTAAATATGAGAACAACTATGTGATTCATTAGGTAGGGTAGATGTATTCAGGAGAGAGCAGTATCAGTTGGGATTTGGGAACAGAAGTGTGGATAAACTGAGGAAATGGCATGTGCTGGCTGCTTCTGGAGACACGCAATTCAGAAAATTCTTCTGCCTATATTGGTAGGAATGTTTTGAATGAGTCGTTTTCTTTCCTATTTCTTTAATTTAACCAGTGATACACAGATTTGCATATAGTAAAATAAGCAACAAGCTGTAACTGCCAGTGGAGGCAATCTCTTAACTTTATTGGATTGGCTGCTGGTATCTAGTTAAGTTAAAATTCCAATCTGCCCAATATATACTTCAAAACTAACATGTCATCTTTAAATTTGAAGCAAAGACATTGGTAACACATTTCTTAAGTTTAGGAACCGCTTACACTAAAATATTATGGGACTCTAGGGGAATGTGACTGTTTTCTAGACATGACATGAAATCTTCAAAAGTTGAGAATGTTGGATTTCCTTGTGTCAAAACGATTTTTTCTAACTGCAAAAGCAAGTGTCCTCATTTTGTGTGAATGCTAACGTGTGTATAAATGAATGACATGCTTTTGTCTAATGAAGGACTGAGACAGGAATATCAGTAAAAGGTATTTTGTGTTTGTCAAGAGTTGTCCAGGATGAATAAAAAATGTCTTATTCTCATCAGCACTGTAGCTACAACTCTAGTAATAGATATCTGGCAGTTACTCATATTTATACCCAGTTAAGTCTTCAATCCATTGATATTTTGTTGCAAGCTGGATAGCAAATCCGTTTCTATAGGGATACCTTTCAATGTATACTTTAGCTTTTAAGAACTGAACAGTAATAATAAAACTAATGAAGGAGTTGAATATAAGTTATACATCACAATTACTGAGAACACCTCAGATTAATATAAAGTGCTTTGTGAGTTATTTTTGTTCTGATTATAACAATTGTTTACAACATCTGGTCATTTCCTAAATTTATTACTAACAACCGTTTGTTAGCAGCCAACATATCTCTAAATTTAAGCTATTTATTTAAATTAAGGCATTATGTTAACCCATTTTCTGCTGTTTAAGAAAAGTAACCCTCTCAGAAAGATTACTTTCCTATTTTGGTGAATGACCACCATACTTCTTTAATTTAGTTCCTATAAGATGGGGAGATAGGACTACCTTACATGGCTTTTGCCTTGGTAAAAAAAATAAAATAAAATAAAATAAAAAATAATAATTTTAAATTGCTTTTAATGATTTATTATTAGGTTTTGTTGTTTCTGTCTTTTTGCAAATTTATATTTCTGATATTGAATCATTTTATAAACACTATTTCGACTTAACAATAAATGTGTAAAAATAGATGTAAGAAACAGTACGTAGCATTTTTCCTGCTTTAATAAAATTAGAATAACTCTTCTAAGCTCTTAATTTAACTGAGTTTAGAGGTTTTAAGAGACTGTGTATGAAGACAGAATTAGGTGTAGAAAGACTGCTGACTTGGTTTTAGAGAACTTGGATTTTTAGCTCTGATTCTAACAGTAACGTTTTCTTTACGTCCTATTATATTTTTTACTTTATTTCGTGTTCTAGGCATATTCCCTTTTTGGTAAATATTAACTCAGTTTTAGTTGATGTCCTGCCTTATACATTATCTCTGCTCTACAGATGAATATAAATATCAGATGTGTTTTATTTGGTAAAGAAAAGCTTCAACACCCGACTTCAGAAAAAGCAACACACTGCTGGGAAGGGGCAAACATTTTTATTTCAAACTTATTACATCATTTTTCTTTCACTTAAAAAATCTAATATGTGATTGCATACAGTAAAATGCACAAGTCTTAAGTGCTTAGTTCAATTATTTTGACAATTGTATATCCTCAGTACCCACAACCCAAAGTAAAATGTAAAATATTTCTATCATCCCAGAAAGATCTTTCATGTCCTTTTCTAATTAATCTTCCCATCACCAAAGGAAATTACTGTCTCATTTCTGCCACCATAAATTAGTATTTCCTGTTCTTGGATGTATATAAATAAAACTGTAAATAGGTATTCTTTTGTGTCTCAAATCTCTTACTCAACATATTGATTTTGAATTTTATTCATGTTATTGCATATATCATTATTTTCTTCTTTTTTATTGCAAATACAGTGCTTCATTTATATCTTCTCTTGGTGGACATTTGAGTTGTTTCTTGCTTGGGGCTACCATTAGTAATAAGGCTGTTACAAATATTCTTGTATAAGTCCTTTTATGAATATGCTTTTATTTTAGGGGGGGTAAATACCTCAGTGTAAAATTCTTTTATCAGGGGTGAAATGTATGTTCAACTTTATGATTACCACACAGTTTTCCAAAGAGGTGGTATCATTTAATGCTTCTCATTGCTTTACTGACTTCTGATATTTGGGGTTGTGAGTCTTTTCATTTTAGTTCTGCGAAGGTTGTGAATGGTATCTAATTACAGATGCTTTTCACTTATGTCCCGATAACCCATCTTAGGTTGAAAATATCCTGTCAAAAATGCATTTAATCTACCTAACCTACCATAGCTTAGCCTACCTTACCTTAACCGTACTCAGAGCACCTACAATATCATTCTAGAGTTGAGCAAAATCTAACACAATGAATGCACTGCAGAGCGTCTGTTGTTTATCCTCATGATCCTGTGGCAGACTGGGAGCTGAGCTCTGCACTGCCCAGCATCACAAGTACTATCTACTGCATGCACACTGCAAGCTCAGGAAAAGGAAAACATTCGAAGTACGGCTTCCATGGAATGAAAATCTCTTTCTGACCATTATCGAGTAAAAAATCATAAGTCAAACCATCAAATATAAAAAATCCAACCATCTTAAGTTAGGGACCAAATATATAGTTTTAATTGCCTTGCTTTACTCTGATAACTAAAAATGCTAAGAACCTTCCCATGTGTATGTTGGCTATTTGCATCTGTTGTTATGGGTCTGTTCAAGGCTTTTGCCAATTTATTTCATTGAATTGTCTTTTTATTATTGAGTTATAGAAATTCATTTTATATTCTGGATAAGTAATTTGTTCAAATATCTACATTTTTATTGTTTTTCATCAATGGGGGGCTTGCTGTTCATTTTCTTAATTGAGTCCTTTGATGAGCTCATGTTTTTTACTTGGAAGAGATTTAAATATCAATTATTTTTATGATGCATGTTTTCTGTGTCTTATCAAAGAAACCTTTTCTGCATCAAGCTCATGAAGATATTCTCTTACATTTGCTTCATGGTTTAGTTTTTATATTTAGTTTATGTTCCATTTTAAATTAACTTGGGGTTTTGGATGCACTAGAGGAGATTATTTTTAGAAATTTCTTCATTTGACCTGGCTGGTGTGGCTTAGTGGTTGAGCATCGACCCATGCACCAAGAGGTTGCGAGTTCGATTCCCAGTCAGGGCATATGCCCAGGTTGTGGGCCAGATCCCCAGTGGGGGGCATGCAGGAGGCAGCCAGTCGATGTTTTCTCTCATTGATGTTTCTATCTCTCTCTCTCTCTCTCTCTCTCTCAAATCAATAAAGAAAAAAAAATTTTTTTAATAAATAAATAAATTTTTTTCACTTGTCTCATAATTGTTTATTATGTGAGAGGCATTACGAGTAAAGAAATTTAGTAAATAATATTTACCTCAGAGAAGGGCATACCCCTTTTCCTGCCAGGCTTCCACTGTGGGGGCCGAGTCACACCAATTTGTAGTTGAGCTAGGTCTCATTGAAACTCAAGTTATTGCAGCCTTAATTAGTTTTAACTCATCACAGTCTTTAAATACTTTGAGAGCCCAATTAGAATTTACCTTTTAGCTAAGCTTGAGATCTGAGCAAGGGCTCCAGAGAGTTACAATGGAGACAAAAAGCTTTCTAACCTTTGTGCGGTGTAAGGACTGACGTTAAGATGCAATATTGTGTGCTGCCTTACATGTGACATCGGAGGGCCTCAGATGGCTGTAACCACAAGTTCCCTTCCCCACTCTGTTCTGATGGATAAGGTCCCTGAGCCAGAGAATCTTCCTTATCAAGGGGACCAGGCACATTTTCTGCTTATCCATGAGTAGTGGGTTTCAGTTCCCTTACAGCCTATGGATTTATTTAAACAAGCCAATCGCATTGTCTGGTGGGAGTCCTGGGGCAACCCACACTGATACTACAAAGCTGATCTCCCACAGCCTCTGGTTCCTGAGTACGTGTGGTGTGTGGTGTTCTGCTGCCCCACCCCCACCCCAAGGCTGTGAGTATATGTACAAACTGCTGTCCAGCTCATCTGTCCAGTGTCGGGTTTCAGGTGTTCACTCATAACCATGGGGTGGGAATTCCCCCCTCACCAGGGGGTTGAAGAGGAGGTGATGAAACCCTGTGGGAGATCTTCTACTTTACAGTAAGAAATCATATTCTTAAAAATCTCTGCAAGGTCACTTTTTTCCTCAGACCCGCCCTTGTATTTCTACACCATGGACGTGTCTCTCCCACATCTTGCCTTATCTCCAGCCTTTACGGGACCATTGAAATGTGCAGTGGTGAAGGCCTGGCATGTCTCAGGGCTATTTGTTTTCTTTTAGTTTTCTTGCCCTTTACCTAGCCTTTGGGGGGGGGGTGGCTATGGCAGTGACTACGTGGAGGCTTCCTGATGGTGACATTTCTGGCTTGGTTGGCGCTCTCTGACACTAACCAGGGAAGGGCAGGGGCTGGGACACCTTGTAACAACCTTGGTAGGTGGGAGCCTGAAGCTCTTCATTCCACCTTTGCTGGTAGGGGTGGCGGTAGGACCACAGTTCTGTGTTTGTTTCTGTTTTGGGGGGTGTTGTTTGGTGAGATTAGAACTGTTATTGTCTAAAATGTTTTGTCTTTCTAAGCTGATCGCTTTCTGCTCTTTCCTCAGCTCTTCTCCGGGCTCTTATTGTTTGTACCAGTGATGTTTCTAGTCAGCCAAATTCTCCAGCGTCCCGTCTGGGAGACAGGAGGCAAAGAGAAACCCAGAGGACTTGGCTGTGCTGTTGCTCAGGTCCACTAGCCAGCTTGCTCTTTTCTCCACCTTCCAGTCTTCTTCTATTCACTTTACATATAGTTTCCAGGACTCTTAGAAATGTACTTAGCAGGAGGAATAAGAAAAACTTTCTATTCCCCACTTCCAGAAGCAGAAGTCACAAGTGATAATCACTCAATGGACAGACATACATTTGTATTAAGGAAATTAAAATACTCTTATTTCCAAAATGTTCAAAAGGAATTAGTCTTAAAAACTTTAAAAATTAACTCTTTCTTTTCTAGGGTATTGTTCTACTTAAAGGGAAAATATAAAATTGGCAATAGAGTTGTTTTGCAACCTAGCAATGTAGACATTTTCTTATGAGAGATATTTGGTCATCTTTTATCAATTTGTTCTTTATATTCTCAATTAGAAAGTGGAAAACGTAATGTTAGGACAGAATATGCTGTAGTGTTATTTTTCTGACAAACTAGTATGCTTCTCTCACTTAATATTAAGAATTATACTCATTATACTTTCACATTTCCTTTTCTACCAGCCCACTCAGGCCTAATTTTGATCTTAATTTTCATCTATTTGCATATCTTAGATTGATCTAGAATTAATACTGCTTCATTATTCTTTATTATACAGTTCTGAGTCTTTGCTTTATGATTTTTCATCTGTTTGTGATGGTTTCAAAATAAACCATCTCAAATTCATTTGGAAAACAGATAAAGTAGAACAGCGGGATTTCTGAATGTTGTTTAGAAAGGACTTACATGAGGCAATCTGATTGAAATGGTATTCTAGGAGACTTTTTAAGCTGTATTTATAGGGTGAGTACATATTTACTTAGATTGCTTTTTAAAAATTTTTCCTTTTGTGTGGCTATGAATTGGAGAAATAGCACGTTTTCCCAAACTCCCTGACAGGCGCTATTACTATTTATAGAAGTATCTTCAGAGTTTATTCATTCAATTATTTATTCACCAAATATTTATTGGATGCCCACCACTCTTCTCGAAGTTGAGGATATAGCAGGCTTCTGCTCCCCTGGAGGTTCCAGTTTAGCAGATGACGGGAGTATGTTATCTGTGCGGGCAAGAATAAGGCAATGCCGCCCCTTACAATGTTGTACAGGTATTGAAAAGCCACCCAACCAAAGAGAAAAAACAGTCTGAAATTAGATTAAAATCAAACTTACAAAAACACAAAATTTCCCTTCTACCTTAAAAAATTCAAATGAATTACAATCTTTTGATGATTGGTAGTATCACAATATATATTTTAGCTGTGAGATACAAGCAAAAAAATAATTAAATGCATTAAAAACAATTGAAAAAAATAAATTTAAAACAATTTTTGGAATATTTTCTCTAATTTTAGATGTTTACTATTTCTTTTTTATGTGCATTATGAGATGGTTAAAGAATCAAAATGAGAGATAAATGTCCGTTCTATCAATTATCAGTGTGTTACCCTACAGTAATTCAACTTCTTTAAGCTTAATTTTCTAACAGTACAGTGAGAAGTGAGAGTGGAACACTTACCTAGCATGACTGGGAGAGTTAAAAAATATGCCAAGTTGAACTTACTCAGCACATTGTTTGGCTCATCAAAATCATGTGTAAATCTGTTTCTCTCCTTCTCCCAGCCCTTTATCCCTTTGTCCACATATAAATTTAACAGGTTTTCAATACTCTTTAACCAATATAAAATTGAAAAAAGTTTGTTTTCTATAATAATTTTTGACAATGTCAATTTATAAAGGATTATAATAAAATCTTATTTTAAATTATTAAACTATTATTTAAAAAAATACAAATTTCTTGTGTAAAAAATAAAGAAGTGGCCCCAAAATGTGCTAAATCTAGTGGAAGTTGTTCCATAATCCAATATTTTATAAAGAATAATAATTCTTACAGTCGTAAAAATGACTTTTTAAAAAACTTATCTTTATTGTTGAATGTAGTACAGATGTCCCTCCTTTTTTCCTATTGACCCTCTCTTCCCTGCTCCTGCCCCGCTCCTGCCTTCGCCATACTATTGTCTATGTCCATTGGTTATGCATATGCATATAAGTTCTTTGATTTATCTCTTCCCACCCACCCCTCTTTGAGGTTTGTCAGTCTAGCAACCAGTTTGTACTTCTTAATCCCTTCACCTTTTTCACCCATCCCTCCAACCCCTCTCCCATCTGGCAAGCAACAAAAAAGTTATTTGTTTCTATGAGTCTGTTTCTGTTCTGCTTGTTCATTTTGTTTGTAGATTCGACTGTTGATAGATATGTATTTATTACCACTTTATTGTTCATATTTTTTCTCTTCCTTTTCTTCAAGAAGACCCTTCAACATTTCATATAATACTGGCTTGGTGGTGATGAACTCCTTTAGCTTTTTTTTTTTTATCTGGGAAACTCTTGATATGGCCATCAATTCTAAATGATAGCTTTGCAGGATAGAGTAATCTTGGTTGTAGGTCATTGCTTTTCATCACTTTGGATATCTCTTGCCACTCCTTTCTGGCCAGCAAAGTTTCTTTTGAGAAATTGACTGATAGTCTTATGGGAGCTTCATTGTAGGTAACTAATTGCTTTTCTCTTGCTGCTTTCAAGATTCTCTCTTTGTTTTTAACCTTTTGCATTTTGATGATAATGTGTCTTGATGTGGTCCTCTTGGGTTCATCTAGTTTGGGATTCTCTGTGCTTCCTGAACTTGTATGTCTATTTCCTTCACCAAGTTAGGAAAGTTTTCTGACATTATTTTTTCAACTAAGTTTTCAATTTCTTGCTCTCTCTCTTCTCCTTCTGGCACTTCCATGATGCAAATATTGGTGTGGTTGAAGTTGTCCCAGAGGCTCTTTACACTATCCTTATTTTTTGGGATTCTATTTTTCTTTTTGCTGTTATGATTGGGTGTTTTTTGCTTCTTTGTATTACAAATCAATGGTTTGCTTCTTGGCTTTACCTACTCTACTTTTGATTCCCTGTAAATCATTCTTAGTTTCAGTTAGTGCCTCATTCATTTCTGCCTGTGCATCATTTCTGACTAGTCCTTTTCTATGCTTCTGAGGTCCTCACTAAGTTCATTGAGCATTCTTATAACCAGTGTTTTAAAGTCAGCATCTGTTAGATTGCTTATCTCCAGTTCATTTACTTATTTTCCTAGAATTTTTTTTCTTTTCTTTCATTTGGGATATGCTTCTTTGTCCCCTCATTTTGGCTGCTTCCCTGTGATTGTTTTTATGTATTAGGTAAACTTGCTATATCTCCTAGGCTTTGTAGGGTGGCCTGTTGTAGTAGGTGTCCTGTAAGGTCCAGTAGCACAGCCTCCCTGATCACCCAGCTGGGCCCTCAAGGTGCACCCCTCATGTGGACTTTACACCCTTCTGTTGTAATTGAGTCTTGATTGCTGTTGGCACATCAATGGGAGGGTTTTACTCAGGCTGATCAGCTGCAAGGACTGCTTGTGTCCACTAACCTCTGACCTCTGACTACCTTGAATGATCAGCTATGCAGGGGCCCACCACACAGAGCAAGACTTACTTCAGCAGGGCTCTGGTATCCCCTGAGTCCATTCCTGGAATGTTTCACTTTGTGGAGGTGGTTGGGTGCTAGTGTTTCAATGTGGTCTGAAGCTGTCCACTGGGTGTGCTGGTGCTGGAGCAAGAAAAGCCACTGACTATGTTCTACCTAGGGCCACAAAGCGATCTGCCGATGGCTGCTTCTTGTGCTGGGCAAAGCCAAACTGTGAACCAAGGCTGGCTGTTCCTAGTACCAGGCCTGAGGCTGCTTAGTGAGAAGTATGGGGCTTGCTGAGGCCAGATGCTGCTTTTTTAAGAGAATTTAGGAAAATCTGAATCAGGAGACAAAACAGACCAATCTAATGGTAACGCCACTGGAAACAGCTTGGATGGGCCTGAAAGTTATGTGGGGCAGGGCCTCAGTGAATCACCAGGATGGGGCAAACAATATGAGCCAGGTTGCTAGAGTTTTAGATATGGCACCCATCTGCCTGACCCATGGGGGGTGGGGGGCTCACCAAACGAACAACAGCCTCTGCCAGCACTCTGTCTGGGAGAAAGCTGTCTCTCCAGCTTGCACCCCAGTGCTAAAGGATTCAGTTCTTCCCCATATATCTCTGGCACCTTTCAAGCTGCCTCCCCTCTGCTGGAGTCTGGAGGGAGCAAGTCCAGGTAAGTCCATGCATGGGCCCTTTAAGAGGAGCTGCCTGGGCCCTGGCCAGTTTGGCTCAGCGGTTAGAGCGTCTGCCTGCGGTCCGGAGAGACCTGGGTTCGGTTCCCGCTAAGGGCACGTACTTCGGTTGCAGTTTGTCCCCGGCCCTGGTTGGTCGTGTGGGTGGCAGCCACTCGATGTGTCCCTTCACGTCGATGTTTCTCTCTCTCTCTCCCTTCCTCTCTCTCCCTCCCACTCTATCTGTACAAAAAAAATGGAAAAATATCCTCGGGTGAGGATTAAAAAAAAAAAAAAAAAGAGGAGCTGCCTGGGACGCCAGAAATCTCAGCCTCCCTCAGCCTCAATTCTCACTGGTTTTTACAGCCAGAATTCATGGGGGCTTCCTTTCCTAGCAGTGGAACCCTGAGCTGGTTGGCCTGATGTGGGATGGGGTCCCCTGGCATCTCAGGGAGGACCTTCACAGCGAGGTATATCCCCTGATTTTTATCCACCCATGTAGGTGTGGGACCAGCTCATTTGTGCCTTTGTTCCTTCTACCAGTCTCAATGTGGCTGCTTCTTTAATGTCATAGTTGTAGGACTTCCATTCAACTCGATGTCAGGCGGTTCTGAAGGATAATTGTTCTGTAGTTTAATTGTAATTTTGATGTGGTCGTGGGCAAAGGCAAGAATTGCATTTACCTATGCTGCCATCTTGCCTGGAAGTCCATTCAAATGAGTTTAAATAATACATAGTATAATCTACAAACAATGAACTCCTCAATCTAAGAGTCTCTTTTAACTCACTTTTATATTTCATTTCAAGTAAATAAACATTTTATTTTTCCTGTGATTAGAAAATTAATTCATACATATAAGGGAAGATAATAAACCTGTTATCTCATCACTTGGAGGAAACCCATCTTGCAATATACATTCCAGCCTATGTTAAAGATACAATGAATAATGACAAAGACCTCCTGAAGGCACATAATATAAAGAGTCTCATAATTTATAAAACTGCTAAAGGTGAATAAATAGCAATGGGACAAAACATAATTAAATATAAACAACCTAGTGAGCAATGGGTGTGTAGCAGAGTGATGGGGTGCAAGGGTGCAAAACTCTAATGGTAGAGTTGAATCCAAGGATCGTATCTAGAGTAGCTAGAAGAATGGACTGAGTTTTCTTCAGGCTATAATCCCAGGAATATTATTTTCCTTAATGGTTATTTGATGAGTATTTGTGAGTTTCAGAAAGCAGAATTTAAGATCTGGCCTCTGACAGCATCTGGAATACTGATAGTTTGTGTCTTCAATTAAGGGATTTCCCATACACCTAAAACCATCAAATGAGCTGGAAATTCTCTGGGGAGTTACAGCGAAGGTGGCTGGGTAAATTGATAATTCAATACAGTACCTTTACCCTTTTGATCACAATGTTCCTGTAAGCTGGAATAAGGGTAACCAAAATTCATTATTGTTCACTACCTTACAAGAGGCAAAATGAGTTACTTCAGTTCAGTTCTAATTTGTTATCAGTCGTAGACTCAGTGGTAACCCTTTACCATTACCACCACAGTTCACCTGTCCTGAACAGGACCAAGATTTTTTTCTTCAAAACGTATGTGTGACATTATTTAGTTGCCTCTTAAACTTTCAGGGCAGTCTATTCATCTGCTTTTACTAAATCCAAGAACATGGATTTATAATTGTACACTATTAAATAGAAAAATTTTACTTGGGTTTTTCCTAATTACTATTCTGCTCAAAGCTAAAGGTAATTAGTTGTTGCCTGTGTCTTTTTCAGATAAAGAAGCTGTAATGTTTTTTTCTCAGTACCAAAAACCATGTTTGTGCTTTGAAAATTGTGCATCTCCTTTTAGTAACAAATTGCAGCCTGGATGGTCTGTGCCAGGCATTTCTTCTGTTTTGTTAACTTGAGGTTTGTGGGGCTTTTCTGTGGTATATCTGAGAAGCAGATGCTATGTATTCCACATCAAATTTTATTGGAGTTGCTGCTGATTAATGTGTTTTAGTTTAAATAACATTATATTATATACTCTCTAGTATGTCAAAAATGTACTCATAGAGACAAATGGCAAAGACTAAAGAGGGAAAAAAATGTACTAAAACCAAGTAGTTAGTAATTCATTGAAAAATAAGACATTGTTGCAAATCCTGGTGTCCTGTATCCAGGATTAGGAACAAAAGTACATATTTGCGCTAATACACAACCAAACAGGTACTGGGTTTCACATTTTCCAATTCTGAATTCAAACATTACATGACTAAATATTTAGCAAGGGCCTAACACCTGGCAGATAGGTTGACAGGAAGATTAATTACATATAAATCTAGTTTTCAGATAACGAATAATAGAACATAAGCAAATTGAAAGCCAAGAATATTCTTGCTTTCCTTTAAAATCTCAGTACCTAAGAGAGTGCCTTGTTGAAGCCAGCTTAGGGTTTGGGTAACTACTGAATGAATGAATGAATGAATGAGTGAATGAATGAATGAATGAACGAATGAATGAACTAATTTGTTAGTTATGTATCTAAAGAGTCTCTTGTGGAATTTTTTTTATGGATGAGAGAGTTTAACTGAAAGCTGAGAATCAGGGATTTGCTAGAATAGTGAGATCATAAATTCCATAAAGCATATCTACTGGAAAAACTGCCATAGAAAAGTGTTTAATCAATTTAGTTCTCTATCACCTACAGCTAGTATACTTTTGTACTTAAGTTAAAGTATAGAAGCATTAGATATGATCCCATTTTAATGTATTTTTATGCAACTTTACTTTTTCTTCATACCTTCCTTAGTGGTAAAATACTAATTACCCCCAGTCACTAGAATATCACAATTAGAAAACAGAGGAAGTGAAATTCTGCTTAATCATCTCATTAATCAGCTCTAGTAAAAGTTCTGAGAGCAAACTATAAAGTGAACTCCTTGTATACCTGTATAATTCAATTATTTATGTTTTTTAAATTATAATTGAGATTAACTTCAAGTAATGCTACAGCTGAAGTGTATTTATAAAAATGAGGTTTAATATATATATATATTTTAAAATAATTCAGCCTGTCATGTGTGAAAGGGCAGAAACACTGCAAATGAGTTTTTGTTTGTGTGTGCATGTGTATAAATACTTCCTTGTGTGGTGAACAAAATGCTAAACTCTTTCATTCAATTCATCCAAACAATTCCATACTCTTCATCATCAACATGACGTTCCTCTTCAAAACCAGCAACGTATGAAACATAAATGTACCTAGGGAAGCACATTACTTCATTTTATTTTCATGGGTTTTCCTGCTAACAATTGCCTGTGTTTTTCCATTTGCCCTTAGACTTGTCAGAGACCCTTCACTGCTTCCATAGATCCATCCTCACAGAGGTCACAGATCACACCAAATCTACAGAAACAGGAAATCAGACTTCCTGAGTCCACTTTAAATCCCAGAAACCTGTTTCCTTTACACATCTCATATTGGCAAAGCCCTGTCTTAGCACATTCAGTGTGGAGGCAGCTGTTGAAGAGGCTAGAAGGACTTCATCCCTAATTTCACATGAGCTTTCTTGCATCAAACTACTGAGATGAAGGGAGCAAGGCTATTTGTGCTGCTGGCCAGTATATGGAGTGGGGACTTTGGGCTCAACGCCACGACGCAAACTTGGATTCCATCTGAGGATGCAAACTCCCAGAAGAATATGACCTCTGCTTCAGTTTCTCTAAATAAAACACAAAGTCACCGAATGCTGCCAACCACTCAGATCTTGTCAGCTGAGATGCCTACTGGGGCAGGGACCTCTGAAGACAGTGTCTTAAAATCTGCATTGTTTCCCTCAGAGACTGCAGTGCCTGAGGGCGTGAGCAAGGCAGCCCTTAGGGCTATGGAGGAGACAGAAGAAAGGGTGCTGAAGGTGCAGACTCTTGCCCCACTGACCCAATCTGGCGTTGAGTCAAGTCCTAGAGCAGAGTCAGTAGTCCTATCCAACTCCACGCTGAAATTTCTTCAGAGCTTCGCCAGAAAGTCGAATCAACAAGTGACTTCTCTAAACTCAGTTGGCGGTGTGGGAAATCGATCCCCATGGGAGACACATGTCCTCAGCAGAGGAGACACCAATGGAAGCCAGAGAAGCAACTCTCAAAAGTCCAGCTTTGAGACAACCAGAGGGAAGTAAGACACATTCTTTCCTTTTTTTCCTAACTACAAGGTCTGTAAGATTGCAAGCTAACAGTTCAACTATGCCACTCCCAGAACATTGTGTTTAAGGTGAAATTGGAGCATATTTCAGTTAGACAAGGTAATTAGTGTTACCTTATCTAAAGGAGAAAAGATGAGCAAACAAAATGCAACAATTTCATTTGAATTGACAGTGTCAGTCACTTATGGAGGTGTTTTTACTTGGGATAGTTACTAACAAAGAATGTAACACCACAGTGACTGCTAGTTTAGTTAATTTAGCTCAAGGGTACCTTGGTTGAGCTCAGAATTACACCCACAGTGTGAAAGAAATAAAAGTCAATATGCTTGGGACATGGGCAGATTTAAAAATGTAAACTGCGTGGTGCTGTGGGAAGTATACAGTATCAAGATCAAACCAAGTAGTCCTGGGTTGGAATTCTGGCTCCAGTACTGTCTAGATTTGCAGCTTTGAGCAAGTCAGTTGATCTCCCTGAACCTCAGTTTCTTCATATGTAAAATACAGATATGGTATAAGGAGGACAAATTAAAAAATATAACTTTTCAGGCTTATCATACAAGATTCAAATTAATAAAATATGCTTAGATGCATACTTCTTACAGAATCAGTGCTCAACAAGTCCGATATTACTAGCACTGTCCTATGGAATTATGTCATCACGAATGTGATGTATAAAACAGCCAACTTTTCTAACTGATTTTGATTTAAAATTAGAGCAAATTCAATTTGAATTGTTGAAGTAGATTTACAAAATAAAGCTTAAAAGATATCGTTAAAGGCTTTCAAAAGGACCAAAAAAATAAATTAAAAAGTAACCTATGAAAATACAGGTCAATATTTTACTCATTTAATTTCAAAGTTATCTGTATGTTTGGAATATTAGAAGTTCAGTGTTATAAAACTCAACTTTCAAATATCTTTTACCTATAATAAAATAATTTCAAGATACCAAATAATGTTTTAGGAGCATAAGTGAGTTAAACACCTTACTAAAATCAAGAAAGAAAAAATATTTAAACTTTCTCATGTTTAGTGACAACAGAATGTGATCTATTCAATAATAAAAATAAATGCCACTTATTGAGAGCCTGTTCTAAGTCACTGACATGATTTTTTCCATTAACCATATTTTGTTAATTTAATTTTTAAACCAGTTATATAGAACTCATGCATTCATAGAAAATAATTACAAGCCTTTTAGAGATGGTGTCATCAAGAGATTTTTAAATAGAATAGGAAATGTAATCAAAAGAAGACAATTCAGATTAAAAAATCACTTAAAGTTTATATATCCCTATAGAAAGTGGCATATAGTTGTTTCATAATTAGAGCTAGTAATTGATAACTTAAATAATACTAGGTTTTTTATTTGTTTGTTTATTAAGCCTCACCTAAGGATATTTTTTCCATTGATTTTTAGAAAGTGGAAGGATGGGGAGTGGGGGCAGAGCGAGAAACAGAAACAGAGAGAGACAGATTGAGAGGTTGCCTCCCGAACATCCCCCACCAGGCCTAGGATGTAACCTGCAACCCAGATATGTGCCCTTAATTGAGAATTGAACCCACAACCGCCCTGGCTGGTTTGGCTCAGCGGTTAGAGCGTCCACCTGCGGTCCTGAGAGACCCGGGTTCGGTTCCCGCTAAGGGCACGTGCTTCGGTTGCAGTTTGTCCCCGGCCCTGGTTGGTCGTGCGGGTGGCAGCCACTCGATGTGTCCCTTTCACGTCGACGTTTCCCTCTCTCTCTCTCTCTCTCTCTCTCTCTCTCTTTTCCTCTCTCTCCCTCCCACTCTGTCTGTACAAAAAGTGGAAGAATGTCCTTGGGTGAGGATAAAAAAAAAAAAAAAAAAGAGAATTGAACCCACAACCCTTTGGTGCTCAGGCTGTTGCACAAACCACTGAGGCGCACTGGCCAGGGCTAAATAATACCAATTTTTAAATAAATTCTAGTTGTTTAGTCCAAGGACCTCACTTTTAAAGCTTGTGAAGTGAACCCTTATTCATTTGATCATTCTTTATATGGTGCCTATTATATAATCAACACTGTGCTAATCTCTGGGGACATATAGAATTTTGAAAATAAGAATAATTTCTGCCTCCAAGGAATATCTCACATAAAAGGTAAGGACCAACATATGAATCAGATTTTCAAAATTTAATATATGTAGGGAGGAAATAAATTATTAAAGGTACAACCTACTGAAAAGAAGTTTTCATGGATTTTCCCATGAAAATAATATTAAATTATTTCTAGAGAAAAGTACCAACTGTTTTTAGTGACTCTATAGCCTGAGGTTTTCTTTGGTAATCTTTTCCACGAAATTTAAGACTTCTTGCTCATCAGGTCACACAATTAATAATAGTATTAAGAAAACTTCAGTGTGTCTTTTATGGACACAGTGTTGATGCAAGGAAGTCTTCATAAAGTCAAAAGAGGTCTTTCATATTATCATTTGATTAGCAAGCAATAACAATTTATGGCATTTATTCTTAATACTGTACTATTCTGAGTAAATATATATATATGTTTATATACATATATATTTCAATCATTTAATCATTACCATAACTTCATGGAGAAGCTTCTGTTGGTAGTTCTTTGCAGGGAGGTTAAGTAACTTGACTAAGGTCAATTAGCTAGTTCATGTTAGGACAAAGATTCAAATCCAGGCTGGCTGGCTTCAGAGATATAGTTCTCAATCCCTACATTGTACTCCATCAGCAAGTACAGCCTATTATCCCAAGTGGAGAAACAAGATGAACCTTTATTTTCCTGCTTATGGGTCTTCAGAGGCTCTTCTTTGCCTCCAGAGTGAAGTCCAGATTCCTTACCCAGTTAGTCCCACAATGCCCTTCTTTTCTGGCTCCTACCTCCTCCGCCTCATCTCCCGTGACTTTCTGGTCATTAAACTTTGTAGTTCTCCAGTCCACAATATACTGTTTGTTAAGCCTACCCTTGTTCCCTGTTTGACCTCCTTCTCCCATCACCTACTTTCTTTACACCTAATAATAATACCTCCAGGGGCCTTCTCAGGCTAAGTTAGGTGACCCTTCTAACTGTTCACATTGCTCTATGTAAATTATTCTGTCACTGTACAATAAGAGTGTATCAGAATGAGCCTGTGATCTCCTTGAGTACAAGGACATATTTTCATTGCTAGCAAAATCTCTGGTTTATAAGTACACAATGAATATTTAACAAACTGAATGTAAAATTTATGGATCGATATGTGAATATAAAAAAGAATCTTTCTTAAAGAAATATTTCTGTGTCTCTATGATGAACCTGGTTGATCTGGGTTAACTAATTTGGAATTTAAAAAAAAAAATAACTGTTTTTTTTTTCCCTACTGCTTTTGGAATTGTATAGTGATTCTAAACAAAAGAAATACTTATGTCTATAGGGTTTTTTTGTTTGTTTTTTTTCCTGGCATATTTTGTCTCATCCTGTACTCTCTCTCATCTTAGCACTGAGGTTAGTCACCCCTGCCTACACCAGAGCTCTGTGGTTTCCTGTCTAGCAGAGTGGGTGTTTGTCAGTGACCAAACACTTTAAAATAGGCAGAATAAAAGGAAGAAATTGGCATTAATACATTTATGCATCGAGCAAATGTTTGCTGAGGACCTGATCTGTCCCCAGCACTGTGCTTGTGCTGAAGGTGAAACAGTGAACGAAGCTCCCAGCGTCGGTCCAGGCTGGGATTCTACAGACCAGTGGGAAGGGCATGCGGAGGAAGAACTGAATCACAAATGCTCGTGTTGCATTAAGATGGTGATAAACATTCTGAATGGAGTGTATGAGAGTAGATAAGAGGGTGCATGGCCTCTGGGTGCTGGAGGTTAGTAAGCCTTCCTTGAGAGGACAACAGATGGAATGAGGTGTTGGTGCACATCAGCTGCTTGCTTCCCTTCTCCCACAGCACCAACCCCCGCACACACGGACTTGAATTTGAATCTTCACCATCTCAGTGAGTAGCTAATTTTATAACTAGAAACCTTGGGTGTATTCTTGACCATTTGTTTTCCCTTCTGGCCTTTAAAAAAAGAATTCTTGGCGCTCCCTCCCATATATTCCAGATTCCTCAGCTTTTCTCCACCTTCACTACACCATCCTGTTCCTCACCACCTTTATATACAGTCTCCTAACATGTCCATGTTTCCGCTCTTTCCTTCTGTAATCTATGCTCCACACAAGGAAGAGATCTTTTACTTTTTTATTGAATCGATTTGACATAGGACATTGTTTAAATTTGAAGTGTTTAAACTTTTAAATCATTTTTGTTTTATTGATTTTAGAGAGAGAGGAAGGAAGAGGGAGAGAGAGATAGAAACATCGGTGAGAGAGAACTTTGATTGGCTGCCTCCTGCATGCACCCCACTGGGAATCAGGCCCACAACCCCGGCATGTGCCCTGACTGGGAATCAAACTGGCGACCTCTTGATGCATGGGTCGCCAACCACTGAGCCACACTGGCCAGGCTAAATCATTTTATTAATGCATTTCATTGGATATAAGTCTTCATCTATGGTGACACATTATATTACATACTAATAAGAATGTAAAGAACGACATCATTATTTCTTAGAATTTTTAGATTTACTTTTCTCCTGACTTAGGGATGTTTTCTACTATATATCACCTTTTTTTTTTCATATTTAAAATGAAAATATAAATGTAGCTGTCTGACCAATACTGACTGAAAGATACCATCAATTTCAAAATATATTCTTGATTTCAGAGATGTGTGTCTTAAAATCTGTGGAATTTTATATTTTGTTCACATACTCCAAATTACTCAGTAGCTTCCCATTACATTTAGAATAAAATGCTGGTTCATAGATTGTGCTTGACATGACTCTGCTTATCTTTATGTTCTCATCTTCCATTACCACCCAAGCTCACTCCAGCTACACTGGCCTTCTTTCTGGTCACTGAACCTGTCAAGTTAACATGCATCTCGAGGAAACTGTGTT